TGGGTTCGACAAATTAAACCTCTGTTGCCCTCTTAAGGAAAAAGCTGGGTTCGTATGGATCAACAGCACTTAGAGATCCTCACGCTCCTTTCCCGAACTCCACGTGCTTTCTCTCTCTCCGATTTGGGCGGAAACCACCCAAGCCTTTTGTACGGCTAGCAAGCCAATAGCTAGCCACCACGTGTGCTTACATTAAGACTGGCCAATAATGTGGCGCAAATCCTAATACAAATGGCAGTGACTCCTTGCATTGCGCATTGCTATAATGCAAAAGAAATGCACTATGCAAAGAAAGCTACAGAACTAGCGGGAAAAGCTCCTGCACGCGGGTTCTCTGTTGCAGCAGAACACTCCACCGTGCAAAAGAGCTGCAATTTGGCGGGAACATGATTTAGCGATGCTGAAGCACGCTCAAATAAAAAAACCCCACAACTTCGGGTTGTGACACCCAAAAGAAAAAGCCTGTATGCTTTGAGCTAGATCTTCCCATCACTTACAGAGGGGCTGTCCAGTTTTGCAGCATCTGCAGGTTGCATGGGCCCCGGTTCACAGACTGTGGGGGCCAGATGGCCAATTCTGCCCCTTTACTTCATTGGCAATGCAAGCCCCCCTGCCATGCCGTATGGGCAACCTGAGCTCTTCTGTCTTTGCCACACTACAGGAGCAGTGTGAGCTCCTCCCAGTGCCCCCATGCAGGCAGCATGAACCTGTGTCATGACCACAGAGGCAGCCGGCTCACCAGGCCATGCCTGACCTGTTCCACAGACCCAGCCACTGCAGCAGCAGGAGCAATGGGGAGAATGACGGCTGAGTGGGAGCCCACAAGCTGAACATTAACTTCTCACAGGTTGGATGCAGCCTGACAGCCACCAATCAAACAGCCCTGATGACCACAGTCTCACAGCACAACTACCTTGATGTCAATTGAGTTACTTCTGATTTACATAGGTGTAACTGAGACCTGAATTTTGCCTGTAGAGTGCAAAGACTACCAGGGTAGGCTGGAGTCTCGACTGCAATGTAGCTACTTTGTACTGCACCCTGGCTAGATCTGGCCATGAAGCTGAAGGATTGGCCCTAAGAGAATCACCCAGAGCAACGATGACCCTCTGGTGGATAGGGGTTCTTAGGGCTTGTTTATACCATGGCATCAGTGCTGGAGATCCCGAGCACACCCCACCCACACCTTGCCTACCCAAGTCCATTGACTTGCTCCAGAACTGAAAGCTCACCCATTAGGTTTCTCTGGGTTTGTACCCAGTAATTACTCCCTGGCCCACTGGCCTGGTGTTGGGGGTGAGCCTGGAGCAGACACTTGGTGAGTCCTGGTTCTAGAGCCCGTTAGTGGAGTCAGCTGGGCAGGGTGTACTCCTCGGTCTGGGGACATGCTGCTGCTGCAGTACAGACAGCATCAAGGCCTCAGATTGCTCTGCCACTCTTTTGTTGGCATGGCTGAAGGAAGGATGCCACAGATGGCGAAAATGCCCCTAGGCCATGGTGATTTCAGGCCCTTGGTGCTGCTTGTTCTACTTTAACTTGGTACAGGGATCTGCACAGAACAATGCCATGTTCAGGTACATGGGGAGGGAAGCTACAGCATTGACTTGCATTCACTGTAGGTTAGTCAAATCCCAAGTTCTAGTCCTGTGTCTGGCCCCTGCACTGGGGCATGAGTTGCATGTTTGCAGCCTGTTCCCAGCTTGTGCAGAGCCAGATGCTACCTAATAATATATTTCACAATTGCTAATGAAAGTCAAGCCTCTGGAAGTTACAGTGGATGCTAACAATATTGCAGAGAGAGAAGGATTGTCTTTTCTAATGTGATTATAATGTAACTCAAGTTCTCCTTGTTCACTGGGAGATAAACAAAGAGAAACAAATTTAATTTGCATCAGAGAAGATTTAGGCTAGATATCAGGAGAATCTTACTAACTGCCAGGCTGGTGAAACATGGGAGCAGGTTTTCTAGAGGTTTTGTGGAATCTCTTTCATTGGGAGGTTCCAGGAACAGTCTAGAGCAATGGTACTCATGCTTTTTTGCCCCACGGGCCGGATGGGTGGTGCCTGGTCCATTCACAGGCTGGGTCTGGCTGGTGGGCCCAATTGGGCACACAGCAGGTACAGTGGGACCCAATCCAGCTGTATGGGAGGCAGCCCAGCCCCAACCCTACATTGCAGTGGGGAGGGTGGCCTGGCCCTGACCTGATCCTGCAGGGTTTGGGAATTAGTTAGTGGAGTGGGGGCGGCAGTATTAATTGCCACCAAATTTTCTAGCCTAAGAGAAGCTGCATGAGCTAGATGCCATGGCTACAGAGGCCACTTTTGACACACAGGCTGGGGGTTGAGCACACCTGGGCTAGAGAAACACCTGTAAGGGATAGCCTAGGGATACCTGATCCTGCCTCTGTAGAGGAGTAGTCTTCATGACCTCTTGAGGTCAGTTCCATCCCTGCATTTCTTTCTGATCCTCTAGTTACTTCCTTTAAGTTTAAATGTTTTGGGTTTTGTTTGTTTTTTTTATTGTGATATAATTTGCATGCATCCAGCCTGTCAGTGTTTCTCTTCCTGGCTGGCCAGGACAATCTGATCAAGCAGATTTACTTCTGTATTTTTTTGCCAGATTGGAGCATGGATCAACACACTGTTTATCTTTCCAAAGCAATGCATGGAAAGGGAATACAGTCTTTCAGTGAAAGAATACAAAGCTTTGAAAAGGGAAGCTAAAAGCTGACCACACAGGACCTCTCAGTCTTTTGTTCACAGACTAAATGTTGACACACTACAGCGTAGCCAAGGTCGGACAAAGCTTTATATATTTTGTCCTTGTGCTGAGCTGCGCGTTCCTGAAGAGACTGAGCAATGGGTGGATGGAGGGAAATGGACTGTTATTTGCTCAGAAATGCAAAATATGAAGAGACAGATAAGCTGTATCCTTACCATTGCTGATGTTTCTTGTTACAGAAGAGAGTGAAACTGCTTAAGAAGATAACAAAGGAACATGAACAGTACAGCACCCGTGTCAACCAGTTTCAAACGTGGCTGAATGGTGTGACTGAAAGTTTAAACTGCTGCATTGAAGAAGCAACAGTAGAAAACAAGCTAAAGGCATTGCAGGTCCTTTTAATGATAAATGCATACTAGGAGGAGGGAGAGTCATTATCCTCCACACTAAAATTACTCTTTGTGTATCTCAAACCATATGAATCTTTAGTAGAGTAATATATTTAAAAGAAAAGAATTCAAAACTAATTATTCTATAGTGGTTAAAGAAGGGTGCTGAGGAAAACGAATTATTTCAAGTCTGCCCTGGCTCTTTGATACAATTACCACAGCATTGCCAATTCTCACAATTTTATCATATTTTCCCCATCATATTGGGGGGGGGGGGGGGGGGTTGAGCATCCGCTTCCCCCCATATTGGGGGGGGGGGGGGGTGTTTAAGCCTCAGCTCCCAGAGGCCTCATGTGATTATCTGAGCCTCTCAACCATCATTTAAAAACTGGAACTCTGTCCCTCCTGGTTGCAAACCATAGGCTCAAAAGTTGGAAAGCGAATAGAAAAGCATCAAATTTGTTATTTTTAAAAACCTCATTATTTTTAAACTAATCTTTATGACTTTGCTGGGCTTCGCTCATGACATTTAAATCCTTAGGGTCAGCAATAATGATGTCATTTTAGAAGAGGCGAAGTCTCCAGTGTTTCATGCCTTGGTTTGGCCCGACCAGCTTTAGTTGCTTTTATAGCCTGACTTATGCAGCTACTCTTGAATTCAGTTGTAATTACGAATGCTGAACACATTTGAAAATCAGGACACATTTTCAAAAAGTTCCACTAGTTCTTGGAGGACATAATGCATATGGCTACATCAGAGGTGGGCAGTTATTTTGGGCGGAGGGCCGCTCACAGAGTTTTGGCAAGCCATTGAGGGCCACATGACAGGCAGCCAGGAGCAGATAAATATTAATTTTCTAAGTTTTTAGGGGCCCCATGGGCCAGATAGAATGGCCTGGTGGACCGCATCCAGCCCGCGTGCTGCATTTTGCCCACCCCTGGGCTACATAATGCATATGCTACAAATTACAAATAGGTATATCAAATTTGGAAGCTAGCCGCTCTATAAATGATAGGCCTTGAAATAATAATTGTAGAAGAAAATACAAATAACTATAGAAAGTGAATATTGCCAAATGCCTTCCCTTATCCCCTTTCCCAGTAACATTCCCTGACCTTCTTCTTACTACAGGCCATTGCCGAAGATGTTAAGAGTGGTGAAAAGGAACTGCAAAGCCTGGAAGTTCAGTCTATAGGTGTCATCCAGAATACCTCCCCTCTAGGGGCTGAGAAGATGAAGGACGAGCTGGAGGAGTTGAGGAAAGCCTTGGAGAAGTTGAAACTAATGCGTAGCGAGGAACAGGAGAGATTGCATAAGTTCTTCCAGTCAAAAAGTGCCTATCAGTCCCAAGTCAGAGAGTTAGAAGCAGAGGTTAGTGAATTCAGAAAGGGGATACAAAGGCTTGAAAGTGACCTGAAGCCAAGGGAGAGGGCAAAGAATGAAGAGGAGTTATTGATCCTGTGGAGAAAGTGCATGGTAAGTTGCAATGAAGAAGGTTAAACACAACAGATAAAAAGTGTAGTTAGCATACTTGACTAACTGAATATTTATCACCAACCACAAGTATTACACATGATCACTTAATGCACTACTGGATGATACCAAAATAGTTTGGAGAGGAGGCCAGAACGTGAACATGAATAAAGAAACTTGAATGGAGACAAAAGACCCAATAATTCTATGGTCTCCACTTCACATTTTCTACACTCTGATTCTCTGTAGTTCTGGCAATCAGATTGCTGGCTCCTCTCCAGATGTCTTCTTACTCTATAAATAGCCCCACTGAAATAAAGTGTGTGCGCATGTGCATACATGTGTGTTTGTACTAGCACATTTATAATTTCAAGTTTCTGGTAGTAGAAATTTTATATTTTTTTTTAAAATTGAACTGCTTAAAAAGCCAGACAGCATGAGAAGAGGTTCTCTGCATATGGAATATGAAACAATCATTGTCATTGTGTTTCTTTAAACAGCTGTAAAGTTCATGTATCTATCATCATGTTTATTTCTGCATAATATCTTTTATTATTACCCCAAATGCTTTTTAATATGCTGTATTTAACAAGAATCGGGCAAATAGTAGGGAAAGAATATTTGCAGACATGCACTAAATACAACTGATTCCATCCAGTCATATTCACACCCTTCCCTCCCCCCTGCTCCCCAAGTTCCATATCTAACTCTATAATTTCTGTTTTATAACTGCCTGTGGAAGAGATGTTTGTTAGTGCCTGCAGAATGGATCATGGTGGCATCCAAAGTGCTACTCAAGTCATGCAATCCAAGAATGGAACTAAGGCATGTGGCTTTGTTGACCGCTGACACACATTAGAGACTGAGTTGTGCATATCACAGACTCACTAAAGGATGTGTTGTGGAAGTTTTCCAAAATAACACATATCCAAAAGATGTTCATAGCTGTTCATTAAATTGTACAGGGACAGTTGAATCTGATGCATTTATGTATCTGCTCACAGAAGGCAGATTAACCATTTCAAGAGTCAGCCCAGTCAGTATATTTCATGCTCTGATTTTTGTGCTTGTGATTTAAACTGACTGCTACTTCTATGGTTAAGGCAACAAGAGCAGCTCTTGCCACAGAGGAGCCAAAGGTTGAGAGGCTGAAGGCTCAGCTTAACAAGCTGTTCCAGTTTCCACAGGATGTACAGCCACATGTGGACAGTGTTGTATCTGCAATACGGGGATACCAAAGGTATTTGAAAATTGGGAATATGGCTAAAATTTCAGTGAGGGACTGGATGGGTCCAAGGGTTGGCAAGAGCCTACGACAAAAGCAAGATGCAGCTGGACCTGAAGTAGCAGGGTTAAAAAAGAGGGATTTTTATAGGTTATATCCACATCCTACATTTTACCTGTGATTTTACAGCCGGGTTTTGCAACTCTTAATTGTGTTGAGAGATACCAACTCGTGGGTAGTCCCATTAAAAGCCCTGGGAGCCAGGCTTTGTCTCCCATTAGGCACCAAAATAAAGGGCTAGATTTTCAGAGGAGCTCAACACGAGAGTGTAGAGTTGTTTTGAAAACTGGGCATAAGTATTCTGATAGGAGCTGTAGGTGAGAGGGCTGAGCACTTAAAAATCAGGCTATGGATCTGACTGTTGAACAATTGGAAAAATCTCTCTTAGGCCCTAAATCTGCTCCCAATTGGAGTTTTGCCTGACAGGGAGCAGGAGCAAGTATTAAAAAGTCAAAGGAAACTGTTGTCATTGTCCCAAGGCCAAGGGTATCCTGGGGAGGTGTGATTTGCCTGTGTGTTGTATTCTAAGCTTCCATAATGACTAGGAACACGGACTCCTATCTCTTGCTCTTGTATTGTTCTGTTATTGTGCTGTACACAGGCTGAATCATTTAGCCTGGTTCGATTGCTTGGCTAATTTAGCTCATCTTAACCTTGCAGATTGGTAGTTTTATGTGTTGCTTTCTTTTCGCAATAGCAATCCAAAATCAGCATAGGAATGGCAGTTGTTAAATAGTTTGGAGGAATGGCTGTGAGCCACAAGTGCCCTTTTTTGGAACTTTGTTTTGATGACTCAGTCCCCTTGCAATTCTCTGACAGGGCTGTTTCCACCTTCCCCTGACTACGTACCTCCTGCTTCCTGCCTACATTTGGGCTGGAAACATTGCAAAATCTAGCCTCTCCCTGTGCTCCGGTGCTTCCGCTTCCAGGCTCACTGGAATCGGGAACTACAGAAACTGCAGTAAAACTTTTTGCAGATTTCCAGAAAGGATTATTTTTGGGGGGAAAAGGTCAGTTTTCTTTATTATCTGCTATCTTCTTTCATTATGTTGAGTGCCAACTGTGCTGGTCAATTGAAGTGGGCCTGGTCATCACAGAAAACCAACAAATCAAATTTTAAAGGAATAATCAGACAAAAACTGGGATGTTTTCCCTTCATGGCAGCCAAGTACAGAAGATTGGAAAATTGGTCTGTGATTAGGAAACAGCAGCTGTTTAGTAAGTTGCTGGGGTTTTCATAATGCTTTTTTGCAGGCGTGGCAGCTTCAGGCAGAGACTGGCACAGATCACGAAGCAGATGGCAAAGGAGATACCTTCCAGCTGAGGATTTGGGGGTCCTCTAAACATGCATGTGTTTGTATTACTTCTTTGCTGTAGGGATTGTTACCATCTTAATTTTATAACTGCAGAAGGAAAAACAAATTTTTTTTTAATGGAAAGGTGAAACTAGCTGAGCTTGCGCTGGACAGCTGTGTTGTAGCGTGGAGTAGAACAGCAGTCTTTCTACTTCCTGTTTTGAGCAGAACAGGGCACTGCTTATTGTTGTGCATAGATTTGTTTTGCAAAGTGTTATTTGGTTTAAGATTCAAGCATAGAGAACCAACAAGCAGCTGTAGAGCATGTGCTGCTGGGCCCCACTGTACTGAACACCAGCTTGCATACTGAAAGCCTGGAGGTTTAAACTAATGACTGTTTGCTATTTACATTTTGCTACTGAGTTTATTTGACATTTAAAAATTATTTAAAGAAATTTAGTTACAGATAAAGAAAACTTTTCTCTCCTGCCTTCTTTTGGGCATTTTAGATGATCAAACAATTATTTTTAATGTAAAGATTTAAAAAAATTAAGTTTTTTACTTTTTATTTCTAAAATTAAATGGGGATACAGATAAATTCTAACTTTCTATATAAGCATTACTTTGTGCCAACCATCAACTGTACTTCTCTCTTGATCTTACTGCATGGATAACTGAACATAAAGTAATGAATGTATGCAAGCGGAGATTGTTCAGCAGTTGGAACTGAAGGGCCAGATTTACCCTCAGTGAGTCAGCACTGAATACAGTGCAGCTTCAGAAGAGCTGACACATCTTTCTAGAGCTAAGCAAAGTTTGCCGGACACCTGACTGGCAGAAGGAGCTGCCAAGGACAAGGGTTCATGAAGCCAGGACTACATAAGGAGAAAACTGAGGTTCTTTGTGTTAAGTACACAAATACACATGAGAACTGTGCTAATTTTTCCTTTGATAAACTCGGACATTGTGTTTAGGATTTTAATATAATCCTTCTGTCTATCTGCTTGTTCTTGCAGTGTTAAAGGGAAAGCATTTAAAATGAGTATTGCAGCTGGAAGTGAGCTAAGGCAACATCTTCAAAACCCAATGCAAGAATTTCAGCTGTGGAAGCCATCAGTTCAGAGACTTCTGGATATGACTGCTAATGTTACTGAACCCACAGTGGCACAGACTTTCTTACTTCAGCTTGAGGTAATGAGGTGCTGCTAAGTTGGGGACCTAATATCTTGTTTGTACTGTGCACGTTTTGTAAACAAGTTACATGTGTGTAGCATGCTGATAGCAACAGCTGGGAAGATTGTCCCATTATCATAGGAAATAACACATTATTGAAGATCAGCTGAATAACAGAATATGTCACTTTCAGCACTCAATTTGGTAACATACAGTTGCCAATTGAGGTACAAATGTCATATCAGAGCTATATTAATAACAACAATAGTATTGCCTCCGGTAGTAACCACAGATCTCTCTGGATCTCTGGACAGGATATCTGTAGATTCTGATAATGCTTTGGCCATAATAGAGAATAAAGTACATAATTTCTGTAGTGTGTTGGTTGTACCCATGTTGATCTAAGAACTTGTATGCACCCATGATATGGAGATTTGCTTGTATCTTCACCTCTTCGATCTCTGAAACAAATGCTTTCAGAAACAAGGATCAAACTTAACCTTAACTCAGATAAGGCTGCTTCATGGCAAGTTCTGTTGTAGCTGGCTAGCTTCTTTGATGCAAGGCAGAAGAACCAGAGACAAAAAGCTAAAAGAAATATTGTAAGCAGAACTTGCTCTTCCTGGTGCACTTGTGCTAAAGCAACTTGCATTATCCATTACAGCAGGACTGAACTAGGTCTGCAGTGTAGCCCAACTTCCCTCATAACTGCAACTGCAGAGACAAAAGGGCCCTGCAAGTAGGAATACAATTACCTTCGTACTGTTTAGGCCTTCCCTCCCTATTAGGGATGGAGGAGGATGCAGTCTTTTTTCAGTGTCTTGCATTATACCACACATGCACACTATGTTATTTGTTGAAGCTGTGGCACTGATGTCCATATATTCTTTTGTTGTGTGGCTTTTGGTCTGCTCATGTAGTTGTTAGTGCTATCATTTCACCAAATGAAATGTTGTTTTAGGAATGTCTGGCAGAAAGCTCCCAATTCAAGGAAAGAATGATGATGATACAGCTGAAGAAGGATTTGCTCGGTAGTGTCTTTGGTGAGGAAGAAGCAAGGTCCCTCTTGACAGAGGTGACTGAAGCAGCAAAGGAGAGAGAAATTCTGCATAAAAGTCTTTTGCAAAACAAAAGCAAACTTCAGGTGAGCAGCCTATTCACCTCAAGGCCTATTTTTAACCCAAGTCAAAGAGTATGGTTAAACTTTTATATAAAACTGCTTTAATAAATAAATTCAGTAAGACCTAGCTGTGTTGAATGCACTTCATAGGTTGATAAATGATTACTAGAAATGTGAATTGTTGGGTAGTACAGCTAATTATTTGCTCATAGGATGAAATGGGCCCATAATGCAACTCACAAATGCTATTTTTTGTCTCTCCTAGAATTTGATTTCTCAGCACAAAGACTTTGATGCAGGTTTTGCACCTTTGCAGAAGAAGTTTTCTGCTATCAGAACCAAAGTAGATCTAGAGAAAGAGCCACAGCCTGACCTTGTAGGAAAAAAGACACGACTCCAGAGACTCCAGGTATGTTACAAGAACAATTGTCTGAGCTATCCTGATGTTAATCATGCTTACACAGTTGCTCTGCCTGATTTCTCCTTAGTTTCATAGTAAGCAGGGTTGGAAGGGACTTGAGCAGATCATCAAGTCCGACCCCCTGCCATGGGCAGGAAAGAGTACTGGGGTCAAACAACCCTGGCTAGGTGATTATGTAGCCTCCTTTTGAAGACCCCCAGGGTAGGAGTGAGCACCACTTCCCTTGGAAGTTGGTTCCAGATCCTAGCCACCCTGACTGTGAAGTAGTGCCTCCTGATATCTAGCCTGAATCTACTCTTGGTCAACTTATGGCTGTTATTCCTCGTTACTGCCAGTAGTGCTAAGGGGAACAGAGACTGTCCCATAGCCTGCTGGTTCCCGTTGGCCAGTTTGTAGACAGCCACCAGATCCCCTCTCAGCCCTCTCTTGTGGAGGCTGAACAAGTTCAGGTCCCGTAGCCTCTGCTCATAGGGCCTGCCTTGCTGCCCCCTGATCATGTGAGTAGCCCTCCTCTGGATCCTCTCGATGCTGTCCACATCCCTCCTGAAGTGCAGCACCCAGAACTGGATGCAGTACTCCAACTGCAGTCTGACCAGTGTCGCATAGAGGGGGAGCATCACCTCTTTGGACCTGCTTGTGCTGCATCTGTGGATGCATGACAAGGTGCGGTTAGCCTTCCTGACCACGTCCCCACATTGGCGGCCCACGTCCATCTTGGAATCAGTAGTGACTCCAAGATCCTTTTCTGCCTCTGCGCTGACAAGAAGGGAGTTCCCCAGCCTGTAGGTACGCTGCTGGTTCTTCCTCCCCATTTGCAGTACCTTGCACTTGTCAGTATTGAATCCCATCCTGTTCTTATCCACCCACCCCTGTAACCTGTCTAAATCTAGTTGCAGCCCGTCCCTCTCCTCCAGTGTGCCCACTTCTCCCCACATCTTGGTGTCATCCGCGAATTTGAACAAGGTGCTTTTCACCCCCTCGTCCAAGTCACTGATGAAGATGTTGAACAGTGCAGGTCCGAGGACCGAGCCCTGGGGGACCGCACTGCCCACATCCCTCCAGGTCAAAAAAGACCCATCCACCACCACTGTCCGGGTGCGGCCCTCCAGCTAATTTGCGACCCATCTGACTGTGTAGGCATCGACGCCACAGTCACCTAATTGCTTAATGAGAATGGGATCAGAGACGGTGTCAAAGGCCTTCCTAAAGTCCAGAAAGACTACGTCCACCGTGACACCTGCTTTAGTAGGATTAAGTTGAAAGAGGGGAAAACCTCTTTTTGCCTGGCTTATCACAAGGAAGCTGATGTCAGGGTGGTGCAAATCAAGAGTAACACCATTGAAATTAGCTGGTTTGTACTTGGTGTAAAACTAGTGTAATTTAAAAGCAGTGCCAGGTCCAGAAATTGTACCATTACCTCAATGTGTTGCAAAGCTTTCACGGTCCTATTAGCAGCTTATTTTCCACTTGGTGTTTTCATGATCATCTGCTAATGCATATGAGTGCCTGACAACTTCTTCTGGGAAATTTTCAGTTGTGGTCATCAGAAGATTCATTTATTTAAAATTAATTGCTTTGTTCAACAATGTCTTACACTGACTCAGAAGCAGATCTTCAGGCAGTTTTCAACATCTTTACTGAGGGATACAAGAAAATGGGACCAATGCTTAACATTCAGAAGACTAAGGTCCTCCACCCACAAGCTCCTAATGAACAGTCCTTAGCTCCAGAAATCCAGATCCACTATGAGACTATGGAACATTGAGTATTTCCTGTACCTCAGGATCCATCTCTTGCAGAAGGCTGACATCGACAAAGAAATCCAACATCACCTCAAATGTGCAAGTGCAGCCTTTGGATACCTGAAGAACCAAGTGTTCAAAGATTGTGACATCAGATCTGAAACCAAGCTTACAGTTTATCAAGAAATCGTGATCCCCACCTTGCTGTATGGAGCTGAGACATAGACAACATACAGGAAACATCTAAAGTTGTTAGAAAAGTACCATCAATGCTGCCTGTGGAAGATCTTCTGAATCCAGTGAGAAGACAAATGCACCAACATTAGCATCCTCCTGCAAACAAACACCACAAGTATTGAGGCGATGATTATCTGACATGAACTTCATTGGGCTGGCCATGTCATCCGGATGTCCAACTTCAGACTCCCAAAGCAAGTTTTAGTCTCCCAGCTCAGCCAAGGCATATGCTCAAGAAGATGGCAGAGAAAGCGCTTCAAGGACATCCTTAAGGCCAACTTAAAAAAATGCAGCATCAGTGTCAACTTGTGCAAAACCATCACCCAGGACCACCCCAAATGGAGGAAGAGTCTGCTGCAGGGATCTCAGTACTTTGAAATCTCACAACAGCAACAGGAAATGGAAAAGCGGGAGCAGCAGAAACCGTGTGTTGTGGAGCAAATCAAGAATCCATTGCCACCCACCTCACACAAACACATGTCCAAGCTGCAGTAGAGTTTGCTGATTCCAGATGGGCCTCATCAGCCATCTTCAGATATACAGAGAGGGCAATCATCCTCAACTGCAAGGGATTGCCGAAGAACAGTGTCAGCCAACCTCAGAATCAGCGTTCTTAACTATCTGTTAAGGGTACAGGCAGATGTGATATTTTTATTGATAGCATGTTATATTAATATAAACTGTTACAATGTAACTGTCAGGTCTGCATAGTTCTGTAGTGATACCATACTTCATTCAGGGCTAAAGTTACAGTGATTTAGTACTTGTATTACAACACAGTCAGGCAGATTTAACAGTAACGGCATAACAGCTGATGTGTGCTCCCAAGCACCTCCCCTTTTAAACACAAGTTAAACACAGTGGACAACTATTTGGGCCTGCAGGTCATATGGGGAATTTTGGTGAGCTGTCATGGGCCAGATCAGCACCTCCCCCCACCTCCCTGCGCAACAACTCACCAAAACTCCCTGCGTGGGATGGGGCTGGGAGCAGTGTTCAGGAGTGGGACAGGCGGGCGAGGCCGTGATCATGGGGCGGGGGCACAGCGCTGTGACAGTGTGGGGCCACGGCCAGGGCCTGGGGCAGAGCCGCAATCTGCTGCCTGCACGTGCCTGCAATGGGTGCTGCTTTCATAAGCTGAGATGTGCAGGGAGTGCATCGCGGCTCTGCCCCCGGCCCCGGCCCCACACTGTCACTGCCCCCAAGATCTTGGAGTCAGCCCCGGACACAGCTCCTCGCCTGCCTGCAGCCCCATCCCGTCCACCTGCCCATGTGGGTCCCGGCCAGTCTCCATGGAGACCCCGGGATCATGGGGCAGTAATAGAGCGGGGCCAGGGCAGAGCTGCAATTCACCCAGTGTTCCTGCCCATAGAACCAGGGCTTTGCCCCAGCCCCATGGTGTCACCATCCCATGATCCTGGGGTCTCCATGGAGACTGGCCAGGAGCTATGTGGGTAGGGCGCTCCGCCAGGCAGACATGATGCGGCCGTGGGTGGGTGCGGAGCTGCATCCAGGGCTGGGTCTGGGATCTTGGGGCAGCAACAGCACAGGGCCGGGTCTGGCGTTGGGGATGGAGCAGAGCTGTGGTCCGCTCCCTTCTCATCCCTGCCCACGGAACCGGCACCTGTCGCAGGGGCATACGGACAGCTGATCGCGGCTCTGCCCTGGCCCTGCGCTGTCACTGCCCCAAGATCCTTAGGTCTACCCCAGCCACAGCTGCCCATCTTGCTCCCAGACACTGCTCCCCACTGGCCTCCAGCCCCATCCCAGCTGAGCAGCCTGCCCACATGGGTTCTGGGTTCTGCCCCCAGCAGTGAGTACAGGGTGGACAGACTGGCACGCCCTGGCAGCGGGGCTGGCTCCGGCAGCAGCAGCAGCCAGAAGGAGCTGCCACCACTGCAGTGGCTGCTGGGAAATAGAGTTCAGCTGCCATGCTAGCCCAGTCCCTCTGTGCACCCTGGGGTGCAACACAGCTGGGCTGCCCCATGCGCCTGGGCAAGGTGGGACCAAGGGTCCTGCCACAGGCTAGACAGAATCCCTTGGCAGGCCATATTTTGCCCACCCCTGAGTTAAAAGGTGTCTGTCCATAGCCTAAGTCATGCCCATAGATAAAGAATCAATGTGAAATGCCCATTGTCTTTTACAGATGATCCAAGATGATTTGGCAGAGCTTGTGGTTCAAATGGAAGACCTAGAGAGCCTCGTTCAATCTAATGCCACCCACAAGCATAAAATGAACCAGCTTTCAGCTGACTGTAAGGCACTGAAGAAATCTCTGGAGGTAATTTGTCAGTTGTTGAGGAACATAAAGGGACAGTTACAAAAAGGAGCCTTTTGTATGTTGATGATGTCTACTTTAAACTGCTGATGTTTCTTCCTGCAGGGAAAATGGGGCTGAGTTTTTGTAGCCTGATCTGTCTTTATGGTTTCCCAGTCTTCTGTACTTTAACCTTTCCCACAGTACATTGGGACTGCTATTGTTTAACTTGCAAATGCTGGACCAGGAGAGTCTAACAATATAATTGTACACTACAACCCCTAGTGCCCATGCATTTTTACCAATATAAAAGTGTTCTGGATCAGCATAATATTCAGGAATAAGCTATCCAGCATAAGCACTCTTATACTAATACAGCTGTGTCCACTCAAGCAGTTTCATTGTTTAATTATAGCACTGTTGTTAAAGCTGTATGTGTTTTATGCATGGTCAGGCCCTGAGGAGTGGAATCGATTCCCATTTAAAAACTGTAAACGAGTGATTCTCAACCATAGTGATTTGGCATCCTGTGATGCTATGAGATCCTCTTAAGGGTGATGCATGGGCAAGAGGAGCTGTGATTTTTTTTATGATAAAAAAAAAGATCAAACACCAAAATATCTAGGTATTTAGAATGTATTTTATTATAATGATTGAGGCAGTGGTAGGCTTCCATATTGCTTTAAAAATGTAACTACATCAATAAAAAAATTGTGTTCAACTGATACCAACATATATAATGGCGTTTCATTTTAATTAGAAAAAGCACAGATCTGGAGTTTTTAAATCAGAGAATTTTAGATTTTTAGTCGGAGATTATTTGGATTATTCGACAGGCAAAACCAGGATCCCTGGTCATCAGTATGTTTATTATATACCTAAAAGTTAATGAATCAAAGCCACATTGCAGTTACTTCAATGGCTGGTTTAGCATAAATACTTTTAGTTGCTTGTCAACATAGTGATAAAATCTTCCATCCCAAAGCAAATTTAGCAGAAAAGCCTGAAAATGCCCTCAGTTTGGTCTTTCAGTAGATGGTTATCCATAACAAAACATTACTCTAATTTATGCCGCAGAATTTTAGTTTAGTAAACAAATAATCACTGAAATAGTATTTTTCCAGGCCTATATATCCCAGGACAGATCCCCTTCTCTTTTATATATTTGTATTATAAGTATGACTTCTGGTGAAAAGAGCAGCAGACCTCCTCTGTAGAAGCCGATACCGAATTATAGGATGTTGCATTTGTAAAAAAGGAAACTATTCTGGTACCTAATGCGCCACCAAGTGGCTAAATGCAGATCTGCAGGAGGCTGAAGACAAGGTTTGTTCCCTGGAATGTTGCTAAAAAACTAGTCTGGACCTGCTTGCTTTAGTAGTGTTTTTCTTTCCTTTCTCTATCTCTGTTTGATCTGTATAGAACCTATCATCATTGTCTCGGGAGTGAAACTGCTGTCTGTTTGCATTCTGTGGCTGATATATTCTGGTCATCCCTGATCCTTTTAGGAGACAATAGAACAGAGTGAGAAGCACGTTCAGAGACACTGGAAGTTTAATGAGAAGCTGTCAGACCTTCAGCAGTGGATCGCAGTGACCGAACAGAAGTTGGAATCCTATCAGGGTGCTAATGGAGAGCGAAACATGGAGAGTAGAGTTGCAGACCTTGAGGTGAGGAACACATCAGCATGCAATGTCATCTGTTTGGTGCGTGGGCGTTCAAGGTTATTCTTGTGGTGGGAGGACATTCAGAGTGCCCCTTGTGGGAAGACATTTGAGACAAGGTTTGAGTTGCTGGGCTCCTACTTTTTTGCTATATCAACTAGGGGATTGATTTTTGCTGTGTGTAGTGGAGATGTGGGGCTGGCTCAGGTCCATGAATCACTAAGCTGCTTTTGAAATACCTGCATCCTCATCAAGGAAAAAACTTTTTTGCAAGTACTGTAGATTCCTTCTGTTAGGAAGGCCTCTCTAGGCAAACAAATACATGCCTTTACTTCTGATAGCAGAAAACACTACAGGACTAAGTTGTGTGTTATATTATCAACTTATTTTGCCTTGTATGTATGTATTGGTATCCAAGGGGATGCCATATTTTCTTGCAAACAACATGCACCTTTTCCCAAAAAAAACAGCTGCTGGAAATTGGAGTGTGTATTACATGTGAGAAATATGGTAAGAGCAGTTTCTGCCACTTAGGGTGAACCTGGGAGTACAACAATGACCAGGTTACCACCTCCACCCCTCCCAAGCTGCTGCTTGTTCGTTACTTACTACCAGGAAAGATGTTTTTTCCTTCATTCTGCCTTTCAAAATAAGGTACATATTATATTCTAGGATGTGTTTTATGGAAGGATATATGGTACTTCCCTTTTTCTGCTTATGTTCAGATTTTCAAACATGGAAGTATATTAGAGACTAGAATCACTTCCACTGGTAATTTAGGATTAGGAGAAAGTAGGGCTGGACAGGAGCTCATGAAGTCTTATTGTCCAGCTTTCTGGTCAAGGCAGGATCATCACTGACTAAACCATCCCAGTGAGATATCTGTCTACCCTGGATTTGAAAATTTCCAGGCATACAGATTCCATGACTCCTATACTTAGCCTGTTCCAATTCTTAACCACTTTCATAGTCAGAAATTCTTCCTTATCAGTTTAAATTCCCCCTCCTGCAGTTTGAGGCAACTCCTCCTAGTTCTGTCCCCTGCAGCCCCAGAGAAAAGGCTATCTTCATCCTCTTTGTAATTGCCCTTCAGGTATTTGAAGACTGTTGTCAAATCCCCCCTCAGTTTTCTCATTTCCAGACTTAAGCAATCCTAGTTCTTTCCATCTTTCCTCATAAATCATATTTCCCAGGCCTTTGATTGTTTTATTACTCTCTGCTGTA